GGGTCCACTGGTGGAACCTCTTCTAACCGGTTCGGTAGATTTGACGAAACGGTTCTACCGAATAGGTGCGAACTGGTAGGAACCCACGTCTGGGCTGGAAGGAACTTCAGAGGTCTTCTAGTTCAACTACCTGCTTAAGGCAGGAGATCTTATACCACCCTGGTCAAATAGTTGTCCAGTCCATTTTTGAACATCTCCAGTGATGGAACACCCACAACTCTGTTAAAAGCTGTTGAAGCTATTCCGTTTATTAATTGTTGTCCCTGTCAGAAAAAATTCTTCTTACTTCTAAGTTGGAACTCTCTTTAACAAGCTTCCATCAGTTAAAAAGGCTGACCCGACCTTTTTTCTTTGTTTTCATCTGCTTGGGCTGGCTGATTTTAGAAAAGCTGAACAGGGTTGGACCTTCTGAGGATTTGGTTAAGAGTACCACATAATCCAAGGGCTTTAGGCTAGTCGTTGAAAAAGCATTCTAGAAGAAATTGGTTCTGTGCTATTATTAAGAAAAATAAACTGATTTTGAAGTTGCCAGGAGTTGAGACGGAAACCGAAGTAGAACTTGCATAGCTTCACTTTTAAAATGAAAAAAAAAAGCAGCTTAATCATGGCTTACAAGGGAAAAAATACTTATTTTTCATTGGAATATTGTGTATGATCACATTATTTCCAGCACCCATGACTTTCCTTTGGAACCTTTTTCTCCCAGGTGGCAGTTGAGGTGAGGGCCATCCTAGCCTGGATGGAGAAGATCCCCTTTGTGCTCGGTGCCAACTTCCAAGGGGGCGAGAAACTCATTACCTATCCTTTTAACATGGCTCGGCCCATCAATGAGAACGAAGTAGGTCCTCCACCATCCCCGGAGGACTATGAAGAGGAAAACCCAGAAGCCAAAGAGACCCCAGACCATGCCATCTTCCGCTGGCTGGCCATTTCCTATGCATCGGCTCATCTCACAATGACGGAAACATTTCGTGGAGGTTGTCATGATCAAGATGTGACTAACGGAATGGGGATTGTCAATGGGGCCAAGTGGAAACCGCAAGCAGGCAGTAAGTATGAAGCATGGAAAGGCAAGCAGAAGGAATCTCAACAGTCTGATCCATTAGGAGAAGTGCCACCAGTGGTGGGTTTCAAATTTTTTCAGAACCTCTACTGTAGATGTGGTCTGCTTTGTGGGAGTGGCTTGCTGGCCATGTGATTGGGTGGGAGTGGCTTGCCGGCCATGTGACTGGATAGGCGTGGCCAACTTGTAAAATATGGCGAAACTCACTTAACAACGCTCTTGCTTAGCAACCAAAATGTTGGCATTTGAAGCACGCAAGTCTTAAAGCTGTCAAGTTACAAGACCCTCGCACCCCTAACCCTTTAGAAAAATAACCCCAGGGATGTTCAAACTTGACAGNAGAAAGAAAGAAAGAAAGAAAGAAAGAAAGAAAGAAAGAAGCTTTTCCTGTTTCCCCTTCTCCCTTTTCTAGCTTTTTTATGGAAACGTTGACAGAGACACTCCTGTGATGACCGAATTCCCAGAACCCAAAGTGGCTCGTTATATTCGGCTCTATCCATTGACGTGGAATGGTAGCCTCTGTATGAGATTGGAAGTTCTGGGCTGTCCCCTCTCCAGTAAGTATGGAAGAAACAGTGGTCTTTGGTCTCTTCTCCAGTTTTGTTTTTTTTAAGGTAATTTGTGGAAGATGATGGGAAAGACTAAGCTCTTAGGGGGGTCTGTTGTTAACAAAACTGGTCTGAGCTAAAATTCTGACTGGGTAATAAGCAGCTATTGGTTTGGTATCAGAGAGAGAAGATTTGGTATTAAAGTTCCTGCCATGTTTAATCTGTTCTTCCCTTCTTTCTCCCCCTCTCTTTTTGCAGGCATCCACAGTTATTACAGTTTGCAAAATGAAGTGATGAGATCAGTGGACAACCTGGACTTTCGTCACCACAGCTACAAAGATATGAGACAGGTAAATAAGCATGTTGAAAAAGATCTTTACTCTTCAAGAAATGCTGCTTTGAAGACAGGATTTAGGCAGGTTAGAGATAAAGAGGTAAAGAGTAGCAGGTAATGCTGTATATCCACTACAGTTTCAATTTCAACTTGAGCACAACAGCGTGTCTGGGGATGGATTGTATGTCCTTATGATTTCTCCTTGGATGGAGCTCAGCACCAGTTGCAGGATGGGAATGCTTCAAAAGCTTCCGTGAACCCATTTCTAATCCCATCTCTATCTTCAATTTTCTGGCTGGGAGAATCATTGTTTTCCTTCCCTGCAGCTTATGAAGGTAGTGAATGAAGAATGTCCTACCATCACCCGCATCTACAATATTGGCAAAAGTGTTCGAGGACTTAAGATCTACGCTATGGAGATATCCGACAACCCGGGAGAACACGAACTGGGTAAGTATCCCACTGCCAAAGACGCAGACATCCCAAAACATTCTGCAGATGGGATCACAGATCTTTTCGTCTTAGTTCAGGAGAAGAATCTGGGTACACCCACAGATCAAACAGACATAGATACATGCACGATACGACATACACATTTTACTTATTATTATTATCAGCAGGGTGATTGTGAAGTGCTAATAGCATTCAATTATATGATCTTTTTTTGCATGGTGCCCTAGAGGGGAAGACACTCACCTCCCACTCAGAAGGCTGAGAGTTCAATCCTAGGCAGTGGCAGAGGTTTCTCTATCAGGACACAAAGAGAAAATATCTGCTGTGAACTCCACATAGGCGTCAGGAAGGGCATCCAGCCAGTAAACACTTAGCTTCGTTCAGTTGCCCCAACTCCACTCCAAATAAAGGGAGTACAATGTCATAAAAAGAAAAGAACATAAATAGATCAAGTAGTGGATTTTCATTACCTTCTAAAATGTGCTTCTAATTTTCTTTTGCCCTCTACTTTCTTTCTGCCTTTTGCATAAAGTGGCTTCCAGGGGAAGGGAATAGCATGATAGCAACTTGAGAGACCGCCTGCTGCCAATTACCTCCAATAGACCGATTAGATCCCACAGATTAGGCCTCCTCCGAATGCCATCTGCCGGCCAATGCCGGCTGGCGACTCCCCGAAGGAGAGCCTTCTCTGTGGCTTCTCCGACCCTTTGGAACGAACTCCCCGTGGAGATTTGAACCCTCA